AATATCGTCACAAAAATTCGCTTCCACTGCGTTCCACCGCAATATAACTTAAGTGTATGTATTATTTTTATTACAAAAACGTAGACAATTTTTAAACTCGTTTATCATTGTGCCTTTCTTTCTTGGGAGGGCAGTATAGTGTGACTACATTGTAGGCAACACAAAAATACAACATTTAAGTAAATTGCTATTACAATTAGGAACTACACAAAATCATACATACTTACAGCCTTAGAAAAATAACGCACAGAAACCTAGTCCGCACACGCTAAGTGAGGCAAATTGAAGCGCGCTCAATGGGCCTACACGAGCGGGCGGGCCTTCAGTGCTCAAGGTCAACTTGCACCGCGAACAGATCAAGAATTTTAGCTAAAAATGACGAAATGTGCGGTAAATGAGTGTAAAAATACGTCAGACAAACATAAAATAGATACTAACATCACATTCCACAAGGAAGTAACGCGTTTCAACTTGTATTTTTATATAAATATTTACTAAAACCGAAAATTAACCTACTTCTTAAAACTAGCCTACATGAATTTGATTTTTGCCTCACTTGTGATAGTTCGTTTGATATGAAACTATAATTCTATGCGTTATTATTCTAAGCTTACAGCATGACCTAAACATCAAATCATAAAAAAATAGTTTTGCATAAAAAATATATTTCAGACTAGCAACTTTTAATGATAAACAATTAATCCTTAACCTTAAGGTCCATACCTATACATGGTGCTAACAAAATAAGCATGAATAATTTTAAAGCCGTCGGCATGGCATCAGAAAGCTCAATTTAAAATGCAAAACCAACAGAATTATAATGCGATTAATACGTAATCATTTGTGCATTTAATAAATACCATGACTTTGATATTCCTTTGTATTTTAATCGGAAGCGATAACATTAAAGAGGGTTTATTATTAACAGGTTGTGTTTAGTGACTAAATAATTTTCTTAACAATATTACTATAAAACTAACATAGATTTCTTGTAATTCGTAGTGACTATAATGAAGTAAAGTTTTTGGAGAAAAATATTTCACAAAATGAACCATTATGTAGAATTATCGATCGCACAATAGCATATGTTCCCACTATGATTTTTTCCGTATGAACGTAAATATCGAGTACAATTATAATAGAATGTTTGATTTATAATGTTATATCATTTATGTCATAGTTCTAAGTATTATTTGTAATCTGTTATCTGTAGTTGCACCCCATTACATAAGTAAAAAAAAAACGAACAAACAAACCACTGGTTGAAAGCTGGTCATCCATGGACATTTGCAACACTAGAGGAGCTGCCTATGCCTTTGAATAATCTGTTTGATCGTTTTTTTGAAGTAATTGGCTTTAAAAGTATCTAAACTTAATTTGTTACCAGCCTGTATATACGGCAGTGTCGAAGGGTGGATGGTTGGTAGAACGTAAGCCGATGTAGAATGTACTTGGCTAAAGTTGCAATGGAAGACATTTTCCATTCAGTATTAAGTTGGCGAATAAATTTCATAGATAACGTTAACGCGTTACATAAACCCTTTGCCACTGATATATAGGTAGATAATTTAGTATACTAGTAGTTGTTTTTTTATCTGTGGGCAGTTATGGTGTGTACACGGTCTTCATCATTTACAAAAAAGGGATAAAGTTGTTGACATTTAAACCCTTAAGTACAAAAACGAGCTGTCTCAGCAACCAATAGTATTTCGTTGTCTTGACAAGTGTCATCATCGTCGTCGTCGTCTACCCATTATACGTCCTACTACTGTGCACGGATCTCCTTTCAGGAGACGGTTTAGGCCATAGATATAGGAAAAAAGGGGAGATATGTCATGACGCTATGTAAGATGTCGCCACTTTTTAGCTTGTGTACAATTCAAACTTTACGCTCTATTATCTTAACAATTTTCATTGGTTAGGGCTTAAAATATGAAAACGACGTAACACAATTTTAAATTAAAAAAAAAATTAAACTTACAGTCACTTGAGTAAGAGTTATATTGCAATATTTCAGTATTTATTTCATCCTGGTTCTGCCATTTATCATCAGCAGCTTGATTTTGATTGCCTCTCCCGATTGGAAACTGCGTCTTTTCCAAATCGAGGCGCATAATTGCGATTCTCAACTGGCAACAATAGTTGATTTAACTCACAAATTAGAAAGACATAGTAGGAATGAGGTTCATCTTCTCGCTCAGAAACCCATCTGATTTCGAGACTACCCGATCGGGTCGATTCCGGTTTGAATCACAATCAAGATGCAAGTGGCGTATTAGTAAAAATGGTCCTGGTATATAACAGCTAACTATTACACGTTAGATGGCGCTGAAACTAATTTTTTCGGTACACTAACAAATCACGGAGCGGTTTTCACCCGCCTCATCAGCGGGACCGCGGCTTCCGTAGAATGTAATTGTTATGTAAAATTAGTAGCACATTTAACGGCGCGTTTTACGCGGTTGCCGCGGCGAAGTACTAGTAAAACCGCACCGGACGCGATCACCTGCGCGCTTGGCGCCCGTCGTCGCCCGCACACTTTGGTGGTCAGTTCAGGCCATCGAGTACATAAGCAGAAATAGAAACGAAATGTTATTTGTTTGAAAACTATTCTGCCATATCATTACTGTGACAACTGCGTTCCGATTGGCCAGCCCGAGTTCGAAACAATTGACGAGTGTCGTCAATTGTTTCACTTCAAATCGATCAGTTAACTCATTGACTTACAAATAAATGGACGACGGGTCTAATACAAAAACCACGAAAAAAATGCCCCAAGTCAACCTATTTAAACGTAGTGACATGTAAAGGAATGTAAAAAAGCTAAAACGTTGAATTTAAATTGTAATGTCATCGCAGTACTGTCTAATTTTGCTTGCTTCGCTGTCAGTCAAACAAACGAAGACTAAAGCGTGAATGACGCTCTGTATACGATTTTAACGCCCTATAAGTTCGGACACTTTTTAGCGCGGTCCCGACGTCCATATAATTGTAAGTCAATGAGTTAACTTGAGCTTTGCTATAATGGACGAAAATTGTAAAATTACATATCTAATATTTAATTACCAATGAAATTTGATTCCGTTTGTTTTGTAATTAGATGTTTTGCTGTTTTTTCCCCCACTCCACCGAATGGAACAGCACGCCATTGTTAAAGATATTATCTTTATTACAATAAATACAGAATATTTTTGGAATATACGGAGATGTACACACAGGTCGGTTTTTGGCGGCTGTCTATATTTCAGTGCAAACGAGAGTTGATATTTATAAGTGATGTATCACTGATGAGTCTCTATTTCTGGTTATATACTCGATGGTTCACGCGCAATGTGCTTCGGCCATTTTTCCTATTTCTATGGCCATGGTTAAGGCTATAGTCTGTCACGCATTTTCTCAAGGACTGAGAACCGTCTTCCGCATGCAGATTTCATTATGACGTTTTCCTTTACCATTAGCAAAAGATTAGTAAACATTTCCTAATGTACGAGAAACATAGAAATTAAAGACGTAGGTACTTTCCGCCACAGGGATTTGAACCTTGCCCTCTCGATTGAGTAGCAACCGATCTCTTCACCTATATAACTAAATGCTATTGTTATAATTATTAAATAAAGATCGAACACTTAGAAAAAATTCACTTTGATCCGGTTGGATTCGAACCAACGTCTCCCAGCAATCCGTGCCAGACGCTATTTCAACTAAGCCACGAAACGAACCAACGGATCCCACAAATTTTTCCACGTATTTGTTGCATATCTTTTTTTGGTTTCTTTCTTTCTTTTAACGACCGTTGCGTCATCTCTGAGAAATCTATGAAAGGTTTTTCTTCACTCAGACAAGTACATTTAAACGCTATTGGTTGCCGAAATTCTCCGTTCCGTTTTGGTGGATAATGAACCTAATAACCGTGCGGCTTCTGCTGAATTTCAAATTGCTTTTTGGAATTTGTAGTTCTAGCATCAACTTAAAACGACAACGTTCGAGTCGGGAATCGGAACCAACCTTATCCACATGCCTACACGAATGTTATTTCACAAAAAAATCATCTTCAATCAAATTGTAAATGAAGGAAAATTCTCGTTATTTGCACAATTGTAATGCTCATAAAGGTTCTTCTGTAAACATGTGACTCAAAACAAAATCTAACCAATACAATGCATGTGCTTTGTATGCCGTATTAACTTCCTCGTGAAGCGAATGGATTTCATTCTTAGCCATTATTGCGTCACACGCGAGAACTAGAACTTGTGATTGTATTGTATTATTGTTTGCACGGTGCAAGTTTAAAAACTGATATCAGTTTAATGAACCTATATAAAGATATTTAAATAAAAATAAACATATAAAGGTTAAATTGTGACAAAGTTACAGTTAAATGTAAACGTATAATACTGCGATTTTAAGTAAATAATTTAGAACGGAATGGTTTCAGGAAATTTACTCCTAAAATGTGTTATTGAAAAAAATAAATGCGTCATTGGAACAAAAAAAATATGCAGCATTATACTAAATATAGATTTAAAATCTTTAGTTTTCGGTTACTTTTCTCCACTTAATTTTGGTGGCAATTTTATTATTTAAGTTTTCGAGTATATTATCGTGAAATATTAAATAATACTGCATGATAATTATCTAGAACATTCACCGAAATTAGGAAGAGAAAACTAAACTGACAATTACCCAATTACAGGTTTCTGATCATTGTGTGATTTCTTTTTTTTTTTTAGATGTTTCGAAACGGTTACACGCTTCATACCACACATGCGAAAAACCAAAACGAAGATGACCGTTGACAGCGAAAGAGCGTAGACAGATATCGTCGTATTTCCGTTTTTACTCTTCAAGCGTAATATCGGGCTTGAAGAGTTATTAAGCTTAAAATACAATTTCTTTTTTTAATTATATAGATTATAATTATTTCTTGTAATTACGTCTTTTCTTCCTTCTCAAAAGTTCACCTTACTGGAGGTGCGAGGTTTGTGAATTTAGCCGACGCTTTGTCTTTGGTTTTTTATTTTTTTTTAATAAATAATAGACACACGCCTAATCATAACCTCACCTGATGACGTTGCCTACGATTGTAAGGGTTTGTCTAAGCAATGCTTATTCACTCTAGCCTTAAATAACCCTAATTCCTTTATGGCTATTTAAGGTTAGAATGGGTAGTGTATCAACGACTTAAGGACCGAGGGTTACGGGCTTTCTAGTTGACCAAAGGAGGAACGGAGGTGAGGGTAGAACTAATTTGAAAAGTCCATACGCACTCCGAAATGTTTTGAAGCTGTAACCATGGAGCGTGTAACCATGACAAAATACCAGTGAAAAAATATGGAATAAAAAAAATTAGTAATTAGTAATAATAATCATTGTACAAAATGAATATCGTTTTTCTTTTAAATACAAAAGTCGGAAAATTTATGCTTTGTTTTTGTACAGCCTAGTAGTTAATTATAATATTGACTTACTACCGTTGTTACTCCAATTGATTAGTGTATCATTAGCTGGATCTTCAATATCTAGTAACAGGGTTTCTTTGTCGTCTTTCCCTTTTGTATCATCATTATCAAACACAAGGTCTTCATCGTTCGTTTGAAGATTGACGTACGAGAGGGATTTCTTTTTCTGCTCTAAATCGAATATTTCTAGATCTTCATCCTCGTCCTCGTCAGACTCCATGGTCAGGGGAACGCGGGAGAGTTCTAAGTTACTCCGGTCCTCTGATTGGAGGACGCCGTATCGAAAATGGACGGCATCGTTGGAGTTATGATTGTTACCAGGATCGTTTTTGGTGGATTTGCCCCTGAAATTGTTAAAAATAAATTTATGAGCACGGGTCGAACAAAAATTAATCTAAATACCTTAATTTCTTAAGCCAGCGAATCACACTTGACATCGGATTGAATATTAATAATGATGATCTTTAATAATAAATTTTCTATGGCGAGTCATTTCCAGCACAGATGTACGTTCGCCGGCTCCTGAGCCCGGCTGTCTCTGCTATTGCTGAGGAATACTGCCTCTTCCATTTAAAAATACATTTATTATTAGATCATGGGAGTAATAATGTGCCAGACGCCCACTAGTAAGATCTCACAATAGGAAATAGCGCGTGAGTACCAAAGTTACGAAAAGAACTCTGGGGCACTACTCAGAATCAATTTAGAAACTCAAATTGTGAACTCGGAATCTCCTCATATACCATCCACAGTGCTAATCACTAGGCCATCGAGTAGAAAGACAGATTAGCCTGAAAACAGTTCTAGGAATCGCTCTACACAAAACTTTGGACAAACGAAGTATTGCGTCTAGGCAAGTCAAATTCCCAAGGAGCACTTCTCGCCAATGATGCATAATTTTTAATGATACATTGAAGTTGACAAGTCTCGTGTGTCTCGTGTGCCTGTAGTTTCACCAGAAAGCAGTAATATGAGCTTGGCTATAATAATAGGCATGGAATAGAACACTTGCTCTGAATTACGCTTGTATGACACACATGGTATAAATGTATGTGGCAATGAATAACCAGAAAAAGGCGAGGAAACACAACTGAGATTCAGATTTTACTTGACGTAATTGTTCTGCTACAACAACGCCAAACGGATTCTATTACAATAGAAAATTTAAAAATCATATTAACCAAGCTTTGAATAAACATAATTCATTGGTGTGCGAAAATAAACAACTACGATATAATCGTATCTGATTGCGGCTACAAGTGTTTAACCGTGGGGTAAACTGGGCTATTGACAATTATGGCATTTGTATTAACATGTAGGCGTAGAATAATTACTCGAGCTCATGACGCACGCAGTGCCTATTAACGAACTCCCATTGAATAACAGGCATACGATAAATTACGTGCTAAATAACATTTGCGGTTTTGGTGTGAATTGCCTTTAAAACGCATCTTGTACTGTTCAACAGCAAACCACACTACTTCGTACCGAATGGTACTGCACTAATGAACTAATGAAGGTTTCTTATAACATTCACATTTCATATTATTAAATTTGTTATTGATTGTTTTTACTATTGTTATTATGTTTCATTAGTATTAAGTTGCGTTATTGGACCGCATGATTATAATAATATTACAAATTATTGCAAGAGATTTACTAAAACTAAGAAAACTTTGTATGCCGTAAGGTGGATCACAGTGATTCGAAATTCATTCTTGTAACAACTTTATTACCTGTGGTGTATCACAAAGAAATGAATTATTTAATGATTCAATTTAAGTAATTGTGTAGAATTTAAGTAACCATTATTTAATTACCTCAATGATATTTCTGAAACTAGATAAACTTGTTAAATTCATACTAATATTATAAATGAGAATGGAACTGTCTGTATGTCTGGTATGTTTTAACGCCTAAGTCGCTGAACCAAATTTGATGAACTTTGATGGACCTTGGAGAAGGATACAGGCTTTTTTTAAATAATATCAATTGACGGGACGCACAAACCGTGCGCCTGATGTTAAATTACACGCCTGTCCATAACAGTTGTAGTGCCCCTCAGTGCTTTAAAGATCTGAGGGGCACTGCTACTGCTCCCGTCACCCTGAGACATAAGTTGACAAGTCCTATGTGCCTGTCATTTCACCAGCACCCTTACCCTTCTAAACCGAAACGCAGTAATGCTAACATTACTGCTTGGCGGCAGAAATAGCTAAGGTGGCAGTACTTCCCTGGACAAATTCTTTCACAAGGAGCTCTACTGCTGCTTATAGGCTACATTTTGTCACAAAATAAATCTTGATGAGAGTGAAATAGGACATGAAACTTTGTAATGCGAAAATATAATTTCTCCAGTACCCTTACTAAGACCCATATCTCGAAATTCATATTTATGCTTTAGGTAAGAAGTAAACAGTGTTTGGGCATTTTTGACCAATTACCCCAGGGTAAAATACGTAAGCTATCAGTAAGCTGCTCGCAGGCGAAATCGCGGGCACCAGCTAGTTTATTCTAATTATATTTTATTGTAAATTTTTATTGAATTGATATTCAATCATTTTTTGTGAAATTACCCCACTACTTTGTTATAATTATTAATACAAAAATCGAACACTCAGAAAAAATTCCTTCGATCCGGCCGGATTCGAATCGACGTCTTTTAGCTTACCGTGGCAGACACTATACCAACCAAGCCACGGAACGAACCAGCGGACCTCACGAATATTTCTATGTGCCGGTTGTCGTGTATATTTTATTGTTTTTGTGACTAATGTAATTGACTATAGTAAACAAATTACAATGTGAGTGTCTACATAATAATTATGACAACTTTGTATGACATAAGGCAGATCACAGTGCCTTATAAAGTGTATCACTAAATTAAAGAAAGTATTTGAATCGCTACATAACACGAGTTGCATTGGTATAAAATCAGGTAACGATTACCAGGTTGTACAAGCTTTCAAATTAGCTTGAAGCTAAATTTAACATTATCAAAGATTGAACACATATTTGTTTACAAGTGATAAGCGAAAACGTCCAGATATCCTTGTAGATTCAATGATAATGGTCAGTGTTATTAAAATTTTAAATAATAATAAAAAACGTTCTTGGAAATAACCGTGCAAAAAAATAAGCCACTTTTCCTCAAGTGCTTTGCAGCTATCTGTACAACGAACTGATACCTACATACAACACAATTTGTTCAAGTTTGTCATTACTTTAAAAGCTACAACTAAACTGACTATCTCAAAACTTTTTTTTACTCTTTATTTATTTAGGGACTTTGATCGTCACTGAACATTTCAGCCCCGTTAGAAAAACAATACCTCAAGAAAAACACTTAATAAAATCCAGATAGATAAATCAAAATACTACATGTATAAAAAATTTTTGCGGCTCATGGCATGTTGGCTCCAACAAAATAGATTGAAAGCACCCAACATCAAATGTACAGAAACCAGCCTGTGCAAATAACCGCGCCCTGATAATCTCAAAACTTAAAACACTCAAAACTTAGGGTCGTATTCCAGAACTGTACTCAATGCTTAAGTCAGGATTTGAGCAGACTTGAGTATGATTTCAAGCACTGAAAATACGACCCTAATAGCAAGGACTTGAGTATGATTTTCATTGCTCACTACAATACTCAAATCAGGACTTGAGTATGATTCAAAGCACTAGAAATCATACTCGAGTCCCTGCCATTAGGGTCGTATTTCCAGTGCTTGTGTTGCCAGTGCAATCCTGACTTGAGCATTGAATAGAGTTCTAGAATACGACCCTTACACTCCAATACTATTTTTAAATTAAATTCATTTATGCTTTACTTATTTATGCATTTCACAAAGTACCATAAAATAAAACATTACAGTACAATATAAATACTTTTTCCATATACATACCGCTCTATGTATGAAAGAATCTGCGTCTATACTCGTATGCTAATCTAATGCACAAATAAGACATCAAAAGTATGTATACTTTAGGGCATAGATAATGGCTATAACATTTACACAAAAGTGTTAGTTCTTTTTTTAAATGAGCAAATATTTAGCCACAATCTCATTTAATAATAAAATTAAGTGGAAATATGGACAATGAGCACGGTTATAAAGAGGCTATTCTCTCTTCTTTTTTTTTATTTATTAGTCACGTAGCCTCAATACGGGAGGAGTGGATTTATTTTCAATAATATTTTGACCCTCACTGCTGTCTGTGAGACTCGAAGCGGGTTTATCTAAAACAAAGCACACAGTTGCAACATCACAGGACAACACAAAGCATAGCCTAATAAATCAGGGTTGTTAGTAATTGTTTTAGGTAAATTAATGAATCAATGGAAGTAGTGTAGTTACGACAGGGGTTATAAAAGAAATTAAAAATAAATAAACAATTAGATATAATAAAGAAAAGGAAAAAGCAAAAAAGGTGAACGTTTTACAATTTTAATTGATTTATTGTCAAAAATTTTTTTAGAATTGTAAAAGGGAAGAGCTTTGACATCTCGAGGATGCATATTATGTTAGTTGGACGAGGGACATCTTGAGGGAGTAAATCGTAGACAGAAACGTTCAGCTTAGGGCAGTTAAAAAGAACATCAACGCCACACTCACACAGAGAGGTATCTCTTATCCTGATTTTGGCAAGATGGACAAGTCTTAGGCGACAGATGGTGGTGGTAAACATTTTTTGTTTGAAAAACCAGGGCTTGTTTGGGTTACATTGTTTAATCTCGTAGTATTTACCTGCCCGGTTTCTAGTGTTTTGCCAATCGACCTGTCATGATCTCAGTAGATGGTCATGCGCCAGGGTGAGGAGATCATGGTGGACAACTTTACCATAGATTGGGGAGCCATTGGTGGTGGCCTGTTTAGCACATAAGTCTGCAGTTTCGTTACCGGGAATACCGCAGTGCCGTGGGATCCATGCTAGGATAATGTTAAGTGGTTTAAGTTGGCATCGATACAATACTTCTCGGATTTTCAAAATAGTAGGGAACGTGTTTTTGACGCGGAACGGATTTGCTAATATTGCCTGGAGGGAACTTTGAGAGTCACTAAAGATAATGGTTTTACACACATTATGGGATTCAGCAAACTGGATTGCCTCAAGGAGAGAGACCGCTTCTCCGATTAGCACACAGGTTAGCGGGGGGAGTTTGAAGTTAAGAAGCAGTTTGTAGGCAGGTATCCATACGGCTGATCCTACAGCGCCACCTTCTTGCAATTTAGAGGCATCCGTGTAAATCGGGAGCCAGCCTTCGTATCTGGTACCTAATTTTTCTGTTAACAATTTAGATGCGTGAGGGGAATCTTTGTTAATGCCAAAATTGAAGATGACTTCTGGTTTAAATATTAGCGATTTAAAATTACTATTAAATATTGAGAGACCAGGGAACTGATCTTTGGGCAGGGAAGGTTTCCAGAATTTGTTAAAGCTATGGAGCACACATGGAGTTTTATAATTAGCAGATTCCTTCGTTGCCTGCGACAACATCTGTAACTGAGGAATTGCCTATGAAGGTAAAGGGGAGGATCCACGCATTCGATTTGAAGTCCATTAATCGGGGATGATTTCAAATCGCCCAGAATTATGCGAAGACATTTGGATTGTATTTTAACTATTTTATCAAGAGGTAATTTATTACATGGATCCAAAAGGAAGGAGCCGTAATCCAAATGGCTACGGACTATTGCGTTATATATCAGTTTTTGGGTAAAAGGATGTGCACCCCACCAAATGCCCGCGAGAGCAAGGAGAACGTTAACACCTTTCTCACATTTACCGCTGATGTAGTTAAAATGTTGAATCCCACTTAATTTGGAGTCCAAAAATATGCCCAAGAATTTGACATGTGTATCTACGGGAATGTAGTCACCTTGACATAAAATCTGATGGGGATGGGACATTCCTTTTTCTACAGAATACAACACAACAGCACTTGGGAACCGACAATAACAAGCCATGCTAGGCTAGGCAATCGCTCAGATAGGTTAAGGCAGAAGTGAGGCGCGATGATGCTTCCTGCACTGATTCTGATCTTACATACAAGGCTACGTCGTCAGCATACTGCAGGACCTGGCAGAACGAGGGCTATTCTCTCTTTTTTTATGATGTTATCCAGTGACAGGTCGAACAGTTCTTGCGCCTGGTATGCGACACACCTACCCATAACTTTTGTAGTGCCACTCAGAGCTGTAACCGTAATGTTCTGTAGGGCACTGCCACTGCGCCCATCATAAGACATAAAGTTGACAAAACCCTTCTCCCTGTAGTTTCACCGAACCTTTACCTCACCCTTCAAAACCAGAACGCAGATATGCTCACATTATTGCTTGGTCGCAGAAATAGATATTTTGGCAGTACCTACTTTCCTGAATAAACTCTTCGACAAAACGCTTTCCTACTACTACATTCTCATCTTAAAAAAACCTGAAGTTTTAATTGTGACTACATAACTATACATATGATTGCAGTGTAAATGGCCAAGTTATAACATGAATTCAATGGCAAAGAAGTAATCTTAACAAGACTCATCACTGTATTTAGAATTTTTATTGAATTGATATTCAATTATTTTTTATGTGAAATTACTCCACTAGTTTGTTATAAGCATAGTTGCGTAGTTGGTATAGCGTCTGATACGGCATGCTAGAAGACGTTGGTTCGAATCCAGCATTGTGTTAATGATTATAATAAAACACTCATCACCTTTGATTGGTTGCTTAAATAGAGTGAAGACTTGATTTAAGCAACCTATTTTGACACAGAAGTGTGGAAATGTCAACAGTATAGTTATTTTTGGTAAAATATTATTTGCACCGATTCGTCTTATCGCTTCATCTTTAGAACACAATGGGACAAACGAAGAAATGGGACCTGTCTCGGTAACGCACGTGCCATCCGTACAGTGCAAACAACTAGTTTAAACACTTTTACGCATTGGCACTAAATTCTAAACTTGGTAATCTTTATGCAGAACTAACTTTGTTGAAGGTATTACAGGTTTAAAAAAGCATTTAACACATCCACAACTTGTACGATGAACAAAGTTCATTAAGTCCGTGTACGCTTTGAGTAAAAGAAGTGTTAATCGTTGTATTATTGTATTGTAATAGAAAAGATAAGCCACCCTAATAAGTCTTAGGTCCAACATTCATCGGTGCAAATAATATTTCTTCAAATATAATAACAATAAAGTACTAGACAACTACATCAATTACCTAGTCTCAAATTAGGAATTAAATCAACTCAAGGGTTACTACACAAAACAGAACAGTTTGTTAACTGGCCCTACTGGGAAAGAATTCTGTGACCTCTTCATCCAGAGCTCACAGTGCTAGCTGCTGTCCCACCAAAGTGACTTACCTTGTTGTTGAAACAGTTTTTCTACACTCTACTTTGGTAGATTTTGGTCCAATTAGGCAAAAGTAAAGACAAAGATCTTGTTTTTACAGTAACAGTTGCAATCAACTCTTAAATAATCAACTGGTACAAGCTATATTTAAAGTGATTTCATGATCAGTCATGTGATGTCTCTAGCTCATTTGTTACAATGCAGACAGAGAATCACTGACCCAGTATCATTGACTTTTTAAGTGGTTATAAACAACTGTGAGCTATATAAACACAAATATATACCATTATGCTGGTCTCCACTGGCATAACAAACTATGACAGTCCACCCGCTACACTCCTGATCACTTTTACGTTCTCCACTTATTTACATTACTCTATTCTAAATACACGTGTTTACGTTTATGACCTTTAATCCATGGCTTTTTAATGACTTCCTCAGTCTGGAGATATGTGTGCTGTGGTAGACATTTTCCCATAAATTCTCTCTATGTACCCAAACCATCAAAACATCGCCTTTCCTATCCTAGTCACTCAATATTCATTATCAATCTACCAAAACACCTGAATGTTTATGTGCAGTGACAACTATTATATTTTTCATAGATACATTTTTGAAAGACTTTTCCATTATCTTAATAGGAATCTAACAAAAATAGGTTGAACTCACCTATAAAATATAAGATAGGCAACAGCAAGCAGTAAAAATCCTCCAAAGACGATGACGCCTCTCATCATAACACCAGGTCGAGTGATGTCAAGTTGTGTTGGAGACACATGCTCCGTTGCAGTGATATTTGTTTTGTGGGTTGTCTCATTTTGATTCTCAGTAACTTGCGCATTTGTTACTGTTTCATTTACTAGAAAAATTTGTAGTTGATTGAAACTTGACCAAATCATTCCGTTTTGGCAGAAAGGATGTAATTTGTACACACACCAGCACATCAAGCTACACATTGACGTATCTTGTTCTATTGCACTGTAAGCGATTTTTGAACAAAAATGTGTAGTCCGGTGTGCCGTTGTCCATACCTTTGACAGAAAAAAATTATTTACATTGTTTCAAAAATTGTTTTGCCTATGTTGTATAAAGTAAACATCTCATTTCCATTAAAGTTAAATATCTATTATAGTTATAACTGCCACTGTGGACACAAGGTTACCATGCAGGTCTGCCAGCAGGGGTCTCGGGTTTGATTTCTGAACCGGTAGAAATATTATAATGGCCTACAATTTCCCTCTTGTGTGTTTTGGTGTATTTTGTAGTTGTCTATTTGGCACCCATGAGACAGGGTTACCCTAGCACAATGTTATGAGTGTGTGCATTATTATTATTATTATATTATATGTTACATGCATCAGTGTAATGAGGAAGGAAAATAACTGTGAAACCATTATATTATTTAAAAAAGTCTGATTTAACAATGCCTTTTGTGTTACCCTTATATAGATATCCAATTAAATAAATCATTATGGCTAACTGCTTACTGCACATTTTAATTTGGAGCTTTTAACAAGACCAATCTAACATAGACATTGTATTTATCTACAACAAACTGATAATCAATCATTCATAATCAAACATGCTTTTACTATATATAATTCTATCAAAATTAAAATAGATGTATTACATCTTATTGGTGTCTTTTCAATAATCTGCAGTAATTTATTGTTAGAATATTCCAACCATAGAATATTCCACATCTCATACTAGACAAATAGACTTTACCAGTTTTTTATAGGAAGATAAAACAACTATGTACAATTAAATCAATATAAAAAAGTATATCAACTGCCTCCGTGGCCAAATGGTTACCCTGCTGGAGTGCCACGCGGAGGTTCCAGGGTCGATTCCCGGGCCTGGAGAAATTTGTACAGCCTACATTTATTTCTCTTGTGAGTTTGGGTGTTATTTGTAGTTGTCTATATGTATCTCCATGGCACCCGCAACACAGGGTTTCCCTAGTGCGGGGCCATGTTGAGTGTGTGCATTATTATTATTATTATTTTTACCTTTAGGTGATCCAGATAACTCAGTTTTAGGATTGCTTGGGATTTCGTTTGATAAACTGGATTGTTGTGATGGTGCTGGTGTGCTCTGTATTACTGTTTTTGTGGGTGTATCACCACTTGTCGTGCTATTTATTGGTGTGGGATGAACCGAGGGAGGGTTCACGGCTGGTGGACTGTTTTGCACGCTGCCTCCCTCGCTCTGGCCACCAACTGATTCCAGATCCCGCTTCTGTAACCTCGCCAACGCATTATGAAATGATGGCCAGTACGAAAACCTCTGATTCCATTCGGTCGCACTATTATCTAATCCATAATCATAAGCGTATTCTGTAGTTCTCACGCAGTTCAAACATATCAATAACAACCCACAGTACAATAACATGATGAAGTAATAAAGCTAAACAAACACTTAAAAACAATCAATTTGATACACTAACGCAGTTACCACTGTTCTTGTCTGCACATTAAGTCATGGGGTTAACGTGTTTTCCCTCAAGCTCTTATTACCCACCTAAAGTCACATTACTACAGGAAAAATTCTTCCAAAATCGAGGATGACAAACTCCTTCCTTCCATGATTGACTTTGACTTTGACCACAAACTAATAAGAGTTACTAACTTTGACTGTTTGACAATTGTATGACTCTGCATTAGAGTATGTGACTCATTTTTAAAGTAACAGTTACTTTCATACTATTATATTTTTTCTTTGTATGGTTGTATAGCTCATTAAATTAATATTACTCCAAATATATAAACAAATTAGTAAATACAATAAATCACTTTTACTAAATACCTCTTAGCAAGTAAAGACAAAAAATAAAATTGATAAACACGATTCCGCGTTTTTTTCTTTTTTCTTTTTTAACTAAGAGTTGGCTTGGATACAAGTCCTTTGAGCCATGTCTTCGTTTAATTGTCGGGATCCTCAGTAATATTTTCCCTCGTTGTTCTTATACATTATGTGTTCACTTTCTCTCAAATAACTTAGTTTACTTATTTGGGTTTTTTTTAAATAATAGTCTTAAACGGTGGGAGTCAATATTTATGTTTTCACTTTCACAAATCACATTCATTATCTTCAATCACTTTGAACAAAACTTTGAATTCGTAATTATTGGAATTTTTCAGGACAAAGTCTTTTGTAATTTGGTTTAAGATAAGGAATATAGTTCTAACTTACTTCATCTCTACATCTTTCTTCGTTTTTTCTTTATAATATACTTAGAATAAAAATAACCACTTCAAAAGCCCGCCATTTTTTCTTTTTTTCTTATTATCGTCTGTTGTGTCGTGGTATCGACTGTTGTCGATTTGACTTTTGTGAACAGGTACGTTCAATCAAGAGCAAATCAAGCTTGACACTTTGTACTTTGAACCGTTCTTATCGTGAGCGATATAAAGTTGGATTTAAGTCTTAAGTGTCAAGCTTGACCCAGTACCAGTACCTACTTGTACCTGTACCTAGTATACCAGTACCTTCACGCAGTACCAGTAATGTACTAGGTACGTCATTGTCGTTATCGGGTGGTAATTTAATTGTATGTTTTTGTTTCACAAGTTTCAGTTTTATACTATTCTGTACTTTATTTCTAAATTTTAGATATAGAATTATCAGTTGTCTGCAAACTATAAGTAGCAAAATAAAATTAAGCTTTGTTGGGTCGCATGGCCGTCACCGGGCGCGTCGCATTTATTCGAAATGGATTACTTTTTATTTCAGATCTGTTGGAAACTAAGACACCAACAGATGGCGCTAATATTAGTTATTAAAGCAAACTCCGTCATCGAAGATAAATTCCGTACATGGCGTATTTGGTAAAAGTAATCTGTTTCTTATATAATATTATTTATCCAACATCCAATTCCAATGCAAAAAAACAATCGTACCTATTTATTGCTAGATGACTAATGATGAGCAAACGGGAAAAGCATATTTAACAATGGCCATGTGATATGCAAAATGGGAGTCCTAGACCAACCAGATTTATTATGTCAAAGTATAACTTAAATTATCTTCTAAACAAAGAGAGTAAGCATAAATAATTTTGTTACGAATTCACGACGTTTTCTGAGCGCCATCAGATTGAAGCGACGAGGCATGGCCTCTAAATTTAAAAACGGTGTCGCGGGAATAAATTTATTACAATGTGAACGATAAAGCATTCTTGTAATTTTAAAACGACAGACGTAGCGACTAAATCTATTTTTTACAATAACTTTTTACCTGCTTATGCGCTACTTCTATAGAATAAGGCACACTAATTTGAGAGGTATAGGGAAGCAGGGCGGATTCGTAGACTTTTTTTACCTTCAATTTTGAACTACTAAATGAGTTACTTAAATATGAATGGAGACGATGAAGGTGTATAAATGTCCTCTTGTAGATATTCAAACTGCCCCACTCCCCCTAATCACTTATAACTGTCACGCATTGTGATTATTATGTCACAACCAGGCTCTTTTCTACCAACTTTGATATTGTGAAATGACGCATCTACAAAGGCGGTTTGTATAGGATGGAAAAAAATAATGGACGGTTTGATAAGTCCCTGACTTTGAGAAGCCAAAAAGCATTTTTTAAATTATGGTTTATTTTTCTACGTTACCTCCTTTAAACTCTATAAGTTCATCTTGACCAGCGATATCCACACTTTTTTAACCCATCAAAAAATAGTTTCTGTTTCAGCTATCACTTCCCCATTTGATGCAAATCGGTAAAAAATCAGACGTACCTACGGGAGGTGTGGCAATAGTTCGTGTCATATGGATAAGTTTTTTGATGTTCTGGATCTGGTAGGGAATACTCGAAATCTTTCGTCTTTTTTCTTTTTTCGTTTTATCCATCTTCAAAAAATATATTGGCTACACCTATGCGATTTGTGAACCAATTTTTATGATCCTTTTTTTGTTTGAAAGTGTGTGGTATCTCAGTATTGGTCCCATTTAAATTTAAAGAAAATATTCCACCTCTAAGGGTGGCAAACTAGGGGATGAATCCGGTTTCGTGCACTTTCCGGTAACCGATTTCAATATAATTTGGCAAATGGATGTAACTCCACTGACTTTTGAGGTTGGTTTTTTATAAGTAAAAAAGTTATATTTTAGATATTTTTTTTATTTTCCTGCTATTTTAAAAAAGTAACGTCAATTGCCTAATAAGCAGTTCTAAATTAAGAAATAAAAATAAATTCAAAAAAAGTTTTTATTTAGTCTTAAAATCTCGTAACTATTTATCAAACCACTCTCGTACTTCTATAAATTAATTGAAGGTTTTATTATAAAATAAAACGAACAATGGCGTAATATTATGTATTATTTGATTTATTCAAATAGACATTTATATTAATTATATATACTTTATAGTAGAATTTCCAAATTTTAATTTTTGGTATTAACACTGATTGAGTATCCACATAGGTATGATAAGTATTAACCTAAAGATACAAACATCGGTACATTTTGTTCCAAACATTTAGGTACACAGTAAATATCACCTACAAAATTGAACAAGTTAGAAATAGTAAAGGTTTTTATCAAAGGACTTACTATCAAATTACTGTTGTTAAAAATATCGGCAGTGATAAAACAAGCCAAACACGCAGGTGCTTCCATTTTTAACCCCCCATGCGTAATAGAGGTGTTACAACAATGGCCAATCGAAGTAGACTGGCGCGGTCTCCAGATGGCGTCGCAAAACCAAGGTGACTGATGCTGTTCCGCGGCAGTTGTTTACTTCCTAAGTATTTAAATAAGTTACTTTTTTAATTTAAACATTAAAATTATTAAACCAGTCAAAAACTCACTACAACCACTCGAAAATCTCACGTTGTAAGCACACATTCATTACCATCGATTGCTGCTGCATGCGATGCAACCGAATTACGTCTCTATCTTAAGAGTTAATTTACAAAATTAATAAATATACTATAAATAATTGAATATCAGCTATTTTATACAAAATCTATAACATCGAAATGATATCACGTGTCCATAACGCGTCTGTAACTTCAATCATGTAAATATTATTATTCAGCTTATATAAAAATAGATTGCACGTAAAACATTGATACGAAAATATTTGCAATGTTCAATGCAAAGAAACAAATGGTGTTGCACACGAGACGTATTGTTATAGGAAGAGGAATAGAGAACATTTTACAAGTGTTAATTAGGTAATAATCGCTATTGATCAATTATTAAAAAGTAGAATACGTACTCTATAATGTCTAATATATACTTGAAGGTAAGTGCGCACGAGTAAAGTAAATAAGGGATCAAGATATTTGTACAAGAATTGCATTTGTATATTGGTGGCATTCATTGCACTCTGGCCCCTTGCAAATAATGTCCCGCTCAAACAAAATGCCTACAAAATCACTCGTATCAAGCAGTTAACCACAACACATCACCTACTTGTGTATCTTCTAAATTTAAGTACGTTTTAGATGTAATTTCTTCGACACGTTAACTACCCTTACCACTAAGTATATCCGTATGTTTAAACGTCCAATATAATTCTACTTGCTTACTTGCTTACTTCAAATATTATGTTGGCTAATAAATCTTCTGAAACTTTAATATACCGATTACTTTAATAATTATCTCTAAAAATGTTAGGAGCGTTAATGACGTAGGTAATACACGGTTAAAATAATTCGTAATAAGTAATACAGACATTCCTTTTTCATCCGACGTTCAGCAAAATTACTTGACATCAACCAACCGCAGAAAAACGATATTCTACTTCTTTCAGATATAAAATAACGAATACAGAAATGTCAAATATTGTCAAATTTAATTAAGCCTTATGTCTAAAACCATGGCACACAAATTATTTCTAACAAAGGAGGGAACGTTTCACAACTGGGATCGAATGGGATGTATATTATCCATGATTCGTTCAAATGATAATTATTTTAATTATAATTCTCTCATCGTTTTCATTGAATAATAAATAATCAAGTAAAGAAGTTCGAATTCTGAGCAAATATAGTTTACGCATCAAAGAAATGAGCTGAATAGTTTGGTCGCGTTAAAGTCTCCACAGTCAGTCTTCCAAGAAACCTAATTTTATAATAGAACTGTAATAGTATGGAATGTGAAAGAAACGACATTAGGTTGTGTGTAACAATTGCAGAAAATAATAACCAACATAACTATGCAACGCTTTGCAAGATTTCATGTCCAGATACGTCTTAATATAATGTCAGCTACATTTCCGGGAGAGCAATGCAGCATCTTAGTTCTACTCCCTTCAGCTTCGCTCTAAATTCATCGCACATAGCCTAGTATACCTACTATAAGTTAGCGAGACGATTTTTAAGATTGCAACAAATTTATTCCATCTAACTATAAAGTTGCTGTCCCGGATTAGGACGAAATAAGTAATTTTTTTTCTGGTTAAAACCAGACAATTTCGACAACTGGATGTGAAGTTTTCAATTTTCCCTGTAGCCCGGAGGCATTCATTCTAGACGAGCTTTGTAGCTGGTCTTCCATATCTCAGCAAGAGTTACAGCTGAGTGGAAGCGATGGAAAATGCAAAGTGGAAGAGTGAATCGCTGAACGAGCGACCAAGCGACGAAACCGTAGAAGTCCAGTTGTACCTGAAAAAAAAATGCACTTACTCTGTACGTCTAAAAGTACCAATTACATTGGCTATTTTATACTCGCATTATTCACATATTACATTTGATATACATGTGATACACATAAAGATACACTGATGCAGTGTGAAAAACCTACCGGATTGGCAAGAACTTTTTGTGCCTCGAAAGTGTAGATGAGCCACATGGTGACGTTGCAGATGAGCAAGAATGTAACAGCTTGACGAGCTGGCTTGCTACGCTCTTGCTCCGGAAGGTGAACGCGGCGCCGAGATACGTCGGCAATAAAAAGCAGCTGAAGAACGACCTAAAAATAAAATAATATATTAAATACAATAATTTTTACCTTCTACACAACGGATTTAACAACGTCTCGATATAAGTGAAAAGTATTTACCTGAAGTACGCTCAAGCATCCGGTGATCATGACCAGCAAGTTTGGCTCATGAGTGAAGGCACCCATTCCACCAGCGATGACGCTGAATACGGCGTAGATAAACAGGCCAAATGCGGAGACGCGCAGCAGAATATCGTTCAGGTCAGATTGTTCTTCAGAGCGGAACTTGAGAGATCGCACCCTGCGAAGAGGTTCGGCGTAGGGGGAGGGGTCGTAACTCCATTTCATTACTCGACCACTGGTCGTTATTAAAATTAGAACCAAAAATGGTGAAAAAAAATGAAAATTTATCGAAACAATGAAACTCAAAGTATGCATGTGGCATAAGTATCAGACGTGTAGAGTGGGATGTAGATATTGCATGATGTGCCAGGAATTACGCAACCATGTGCAAAATTGGAGCCAAAGGAGTTGCATAGTTGGGATTGTGAAAAAAGGAATCAGTAAAGGAAGGGGAAGGAAAAACAAAAATAAAAACATAAATAAAAAAATGGAAAAGTAAACAAAAGTAAAACGTACGAGTAAAACATGGTCATATGAATATTATTTGCAATTACTTTTCTAAAGAACAAGAAGGAACATTAATGATCTTCTAAGCACGATGTATTCAAGAACTAAAGAAGTACCCATTAACCCAAGAAACATATTTACGTGCATTATAATTCAATACAATCACTATTTTAATAAAAATAACAGCGGTCTTACCGTATAAATCCAATCAGAATCGCCAGAATAGACAGAATCATCAGAGCGCAGTGGGAAACATCGGCCAAATAAAACGACAGGCGCTTCAATTCCTGGTGTCTTATTAGCACGAAGAATAGGATCAGGCAGATTAGTGAGGCGACGAGCACAAGTAGTCCACAGAAGAGTCCCTTGGAAGCTCCAGCACAGTCCACGCGGTTGCCGCGCTGTGCTGCTGCGAGTGCTGCCGCCCTGCGGGAGAGAACAGCCTCCAGACGTCTTTCCAGATCTTCGTCGTTGGCCACGCTGCAACCAAACGTGGCAAGTCAATCGCGCACGTCTCTTTAAAAATCCTAATCATATACTATTCCATTACTAGCATGTGTAACAACTAAATGGGCTTTTAGTGATTTGGTTTGGTTAGTGAAATGGTTGCATTTTTGGTGGAAATAAGGTTTTTTATTATGTATGTTAAAGTGATGTATACAGAACGTGGTGAAGTTAATAAACTAGGCTAGTAAACTAGGTACGAAGATACTACATACCTCGGGTAGCGACCAATATGCTTCCACATGACGTAGATGACAGCGGCGCCGATAAGAGAGTACTCGATGATGAACGGATAAAGATACGGTGCAGCGTCAGCGACGATAGTTCCCATAATTGGGTTCCTTCCGCAAACTGTAGAATTATCAACAGCGGAGATCAGGGCAGCCGGGCTGAGGCTATCGAATGACTCGAAAATTTCCGTAGAGTTATTGGCTGAAAGTTTATAAAGAAATATTTTTTAAACATATTGATACTAATGTCCTGAAAATATAATAAAACAAAATATAATTAAAACAAAATGCGAGATTACAAAAATAATGATATACCCAGAAACTACCACATTCCAAACATAATGATGATCGTAAGAAACAAATGTCTACAACAAAACATAATGGGTGCACGCACAGTAACTTCCGTCTACGCTAGTGGGTTGTAACTAAATGAATGTGACAAAAATAAAAGGTAACTAATGAGGCAAGACGACACTCCAACGACAAACCTGGTGAATGTGGTGGTTCATCTACACGATATGTTTCTACACTATTGCCCCATTCATCTCTGTCAGTTACGAATGATCCAGTAGTCGTAATGGGCACCACAGTTGACATGGTGCTTACAATCGGTTTCAAAGTCGAAGAATAAAGCCAGTTAAATACTTCCAACATGGCGGTTTGAGTTTGTGTTACTTTGTCAGCTGGTGTAAGTGGTGAAACAGTGGAAGTAGTAGTAAAAGGGTTATCGTTTGGCCACGCATCTTTGAATTCACGACCGTATCCCATACCGTTCTCATATCCTATGGTACTTTTTATAGAAGAAATCAGTTTCGACTTAGGAACAAAACCACCACCACCACCCATATTATAATACGGTGAAGGAGTGGTCGCTGAAAAACGAGTTCAAAATGCATTTTAATTGAAACACATGCAAAGTTTAGCACGATTGCAAACTTCAAAAAGAAACATTGACGATGTTAGTAAAAGACAAACAAAATTTTTGAAACCAATGATAACTAACTTGTAGTAGGAGTTGTAGTAGGGACTGAGTCAGTGGTAGTTATGATATGGAATAGCTGCTGACCGGCATTCTTGGCAGAAGTGACTGCAGTTGCCGCAACAGTTGTAGCAGCTGTGGTAGCAGCCCCGAATACTTTTCCCGAATTCCTCAAGGTGTGTTTACGAATTACTTCTGAAGGTCAAAGGAAAGAAGTGCGTTTTTAAAGCCATACTAGTAATATTAAATCAAGTGTAATATGGATTACACTATTATTCATAATTCTTACTTCCAAGCACGCTCTCGTTTGCAATACCTAAAGGATGTTTCACGTGGTAATCAGTAATTTCCTTCAGCGACTCAAGTACGAGTGTCCTAATCCAAACGCAGATGTTGGTAGCCACCACGTGCATCAGGCCAAAACGCGCAATGACTTTGAATCTGTGAATGTTCAACTGCAACAACAGAAATGGTTATTCAACGGCATATCAAATTAAGCAAAATTTATTAAAGTTATTTAATTAAATTTTACTTACTCTAGAATTCATGAAGATGAAATACATTTGCATAAAGGTGAAAACCATCTGCAATACCGGGTTGACGCCTTTCAAGATAAGATAGCATGGAGAAGTCAGGGGCAGCTCAAAAAAGGTACCGAATTCCAAACCATTGTAGATCATGGTACCGAGACCAAATGCTGTGTTGAAAATATAGAACAAATACATTAGTATTTTATGTTTGGTAGATTAAAATTTATAAGACGAATCATTGAAAAATTCGCTTACCAATAGCACCAATTCTCAAAAAGAAGCTTCCATGACTGTGATCGTTCTGCGAAGTTTTGCGTCTGCGAACAGGCCTTGCCACAGGAGCCGATTCAATCTCCACCACATCTTGTTGCTGTACGAATAATTATCTTTACTTTATCACTTAATATGTAGCGCAAAGACATGTCGCTTTCTTTAAATAGTAAATTCGTTTTTCTTTGTATATTCGTATTGTAATTTATTAGACCTCTCGGACGTACAATGTACTCAAAATTGGGTGTCTGTGTGTATCACACATTTAGCATTTTTATAAATCACATGATACATTTTATGGTAAACATGGTAATTACACAATTAGTATGTAATGTACTAGGCACTGGCAACATGGTCTATGTTAATATGTTGACGTGCATCGTGGATGCGTTTATACAATTTTTCAAGCCGCAACAACTTTCGACGAAAGTGAAGACACAAAGCCTACAGGCGATGACATAAGAAAGCGAAGTGAAAATGTAGCGGACAAACAAGCACTATTGCGATATGCGAATCAAAATAAAAAACACACACTACAACAGCACATCCAAAGCTCTCCTTAATGATATAGTACACGAGTGTTGAAGCGATTTCCGACATGATATCCTCACCTGTTCGGACGCATACAATTGCGCCATTTGTATTTGCAATTGCTGTTGACGAACTTTATCGCGCATCTTACGGGGATACACCTCCTGCCCAAATGATATGGAAAAACAAAAAGTAGGCAGCGTAAACAAAAAAGGGTACATGCGGCTGTTACGTCCTTGATGAAGCTTTTACGATAACGATGACTTTTTTATGAGAGGCAAAAATAAAACTGAACAACGGGTGCGAATAAAACTTCACAAAGTTATTAAAGTAATCAAAATTAACAAATAATAAACATGAGGTTAACTAACACATGACGGCACGCGGAAGCGACAAGAGTGTGTAAATTTATGTTAAATACAAATATAATGGATGTGCTGTGTGTAGCATAACAATCTTTACTCACCTGGAATTGGCTTTGTTTCTTAGCCTCTTTGGTTGGCTTCTCTTTTCCAGCATCCTTGTCCTTGTCCTTATCCTTATCTTTATCTTTCGACTTTCCTTCTTTCTTGCCATCCTTCTTGCCGTCTTTTCCTTCTTTTCCATCTTTACCTTCCTTGCCATCTTTGCCTTCTTTTACTTCTTTGTCTTTGGTTTTCTTTTCTTTTTCCTTTTTCGGTTTCTTTTCCTTTGGTGGAGGCTTCGGTTTTGGAGGGCTGCCACTGCAGCATGCGCTCTCTAAATTAAATTATACTCGATTTTAATAAAAATATCTTAAATAAATTGGTTACCTTATTACGTGCAGTTTAAATCTGAAATTCTGAGTTTCCGTATACCAACCTTGAAGCAAGAAGCAGAAGACGTATAATAAAAACAATATGCTCATGCCGTACAGGTAGGTGAAAAAGCCCTCATAGTAGTAGAGGGGCAGGTTGTGGGTGATGACATCGCTGATAACGTAAGCAATGCAAACCACTACTAAAAGCTTCGCGTAGATGAAACTCGAAATGATGAACAGCGAGGTTCTGTAATAGAAATAGTGCGTTTTTATTAGTTTTTATAGGAATACTAGTACAACTGAAACCAATTTAGAAATGAACCAATTTTTTTTAATCTAAATCGCGTATGTTTTTTTTTACTAGTGGTAACCACGAAAGGTAACTTTTCGTACTCTTTACAGGTCAGTCAGCAGTGACCTGTAAACATCCCGAAAAATAACTTCATTTCTAAATCAGCAGAAATCGCGAAAAAATAATAACTCGATATGAAACCAGTTTTGTCACCTATCAAAATTCTGATGAATATAATTTCTATTTATTTTTGTTTGAAAATTACAAAAAATTTTTCATGTGCCCGGAAGGATATTAGTGCTTTCGTTTTAAGAATGCAAAACAAAATTATTTGCGCTATGTACAGTCGATGAACGTTCAGTATGGTTGTGAAATATTTTTATTTCGAGTTTGTTGAGTGAGCACCAGTGAGCATGAACGCCAGCTTTCAGCTTACAGTAATAACGATATTATAGTCACTAGTACGTGACGTGACTCGTAGTTCGCAGAATATCACAGTCTTTTTTATTAATTTTAAATTTTTATTTTAGAAAAATATTTTTTTCTTAAATACGTTGTAAAACTCAACCTATCCAAATATTACAAACTAACGCAATTCAACACTCAATCTCTTTCAATCGAAAACTATTCATATTGCCTGATACGTGGGCCGTGGCCGTGGGCCACACCTAAACAGTAACATTCGGTCTGAATTCTTTGTTGAAAATCGTACACCACCTTCAAATTCGCTGTTTAAAAAAGCGAAAGTGTGTATAATTGAACCATTAACTGAATATTAACATAACATCAAAGAAAAAAATACGAGTACATTCTTAATTATGCCATCTATATTCCCCTTTCTAACTTCTGATAAAAATTACAAAAATGCTCCTAATGTTACTTCGAAGAAGATAAAAGTAGCTGTCTTTCCTAATGAAATTTAGTCAGATGTAAATACTAAGTACTATGCACTAGACATACTTTTTCGATGGCTTCGGTTGTACGCATTTCATTTCCATCTCTTTGTTCGCGGTGTTATGTTTCTCAGCGATGGCGATATCGCTGCCCTGCTGCCGATGCTGGCCCACCGGCAGGGTCGCCATGTTGTCTACGGCTTCCAAGTCTACCGTCGCCACCCTCACTTCAGCCTCAGTGGGCTGGTGCTTGTCCTTCCCCATAACGACACTTTCACTTTACTTCGAGGATGAGGTAACGGATCAGGAATTCACAGGGTGCCCATAGCGGTACTTCAGGGTTAAGGACGAAGGTGAGGGCAGGGCCGCAAGGAGCTCTTTCAACGCAAAAAGCTCCGGAAGTGCGGAGGTACCGTGCCCCCAGCTCGAGTGCGCAGAGAGTTGCGCACTACTGGATGCTGCGCTGTGACGACTCTCGCAATAGGGGCGGCACACCCTCCGTAAGCACCCTATTTTATTTTATATTACACTCTTAACTCCGGGAGGGTCGGATTTTTGAGTAACATTGTTATTGGGCTATTTATTGACGAGGAAAGACGTGGTTATGTTTTATGATATGACTATAGCAAAGGTACAATTTGCGATTGATAAGCAAGTGGTCTGGTTTTCTATTTTATTGATGGATAGCTAAGATTTGTTGTGCTGGGTTAAAGAAGACTGGTAGATATACATTGTACATCAAAGCTTTTTCGATATGTTTATATCATTACTGCTTTCACGTGCTGACACTGCGAGTTTTAAGCACCAGTAGGTAGGTAGTTTTAGTGAAATTTGTTCATTAAGCAGCATTGTCATACATTTCCCCAAACGCTAGTCGGCAGCCCTAGACTGGAGACCCGCGATCGATAGAGGCGCGTCTCTCCCGGAGAGCTTTGGGAGGCTGCGCGAGCGACCCACTGACCCGGCCGCTGCCCCACCCCCACACCGCCAAAACACACCCTAATACCCAACTACGCAGCTCCTATGTACAACCCTAACATTGCACTATAATGCTATGCACACACGCAATTCACAAAAGACCCAGTTTGCCCAGAGCGCAAAGAAAGGAGCCTCAGATAATAACTGTTTGAAAGGATTCTAAAGATGAAAGCCGACGCGCGCATGCTCGATCTCAATTCAATGTCCGACCTTCTCGTATCTCGGGGTCGTCGACCTCCAGTGCAAGTTACTATGTTATTGTACTTTCAAACCCATGACCATGACTTTTGCATTAGATAATTGCGCCTATAAATCATTAGCTTGTACACTAGTGTTGCTTGTTTATTAACGCACGGGTAATAAGCGGCAAAACAATAGAAACAATGACATCATTAAAATGCTGTTAATGTCCATTGCAAAACAAGCGTCGCGCAAATGTTAAGACATAATTAGTATTAGGCTGCTACAGAACTGAGATCTACTTATGTTAAAATCATCACACGCATTCTAAACAGGCAACTTATTGCGTAACATCCACTTTTAGCGTGACTCTAAATGCTCACTCTTGAAGTCCAGAATAACCCGGAGTCCCCCAAGAAACGACGCGACTTTGATAATATGCACTTTTCTTTGAATGGACTATTTCTTTTTTTTTACCAAAATTACAAGTTCGGCTAATTCAAAAATATTAATTTCATTTTATCGAAAAACGCCATTTAGGTCATAATTCCATTCTACGATTATAAGATCAAGATTTCCGTTCGAGACTCAGAATCTGTGTACATAGATAAATACTCGTATGTCAGTAAATAATTACTAAACATGAGGGGATCAAGTTAACAATTTAAATTACAAAGCATTCTCGTCTATGACATAATGGTCCTTTGCAATACGGCCTTGGTAACCGCATACAAAACAAATACTTGGAAACTTTATGAACGATGTTTTATTGCATCCATAAATGGACTTTGAAAACGTCTAATGCCGTCTAGACCGTATCGAATTACATCCAACTACTCTTTGCGTTCTAGATTTGGATCGCTTATTTCGGATGTCGCTAGGTTTCTAGCTATAAATCTCACGTCACTCCATAAACGTTCCGGTTTGATTGCTTACATACCTTGCCTGTGCCAAAATTCGGTACGCCTTTTTGTAACCCTCCCTTCTGTGTTTTCATTTAGGACATCTATATTTAATGAGGTCGATTCGGAACGAGGTGCAATGCTTCGGTTTTGGCTGTAACAGCGAATCTAATTTTTCGGCTTCGAGAAGTGAAATTGTTAGATTGATGCAAAAAGAACTATTCAGGACGATGGTGTGGTTTTGTGGTGGCGATTCGTGTTATGAATATCGACAATGAAATAAGGTCCAATTGTTTAACACGAGACGTGCAGAAATCGGCAGAGTGATGTATGTTTGTTTCTTTGGTGAGCTTTGGATAGAGGTCAATACTATGTATAAATTTACTAAAGTTAAAAAAGTATTTAACAAAAAAAGCAGTGGTCCATCGAGAAAACCAGAGCTAATTTATAGTAACAAATTTTGAATAGCGATATACAGTGACAGTAATATTACGTGAAAACCACAGACCAAATAAAGTGAAGACATACAAAATTAATTGCACAGATATGAGACCGGATTGTCGAGGCAAATGCATTAATTACTTTTCGACGATATAATTGAAGATTGCACGAGTGCTTTTTTTTGTAGCTAATTCGTAAAAGATTACATAATTATCGTAATATTAAAATTAACGAAGTTTTTTTTCAGCAACTACTGTGTGTTATCCTCCCTAATACATTTCAGAGGATCTATTATTAATACTTACAACCTTTCTGCTAGCCTTACAACATCAAGGGGCTCCCAACGGTCGAATGCTTTGTAACCACACTGAATTGCGCTACCTGCTTTATTCAGCTAAATACCAATTTTAAACCTTATTGTATGGAAATAAAGTGGCCCATTTCGCAATTTCCGCTACACATGTTCAGGTATTTATATAATGGAAACCATTTCATCGATTGTCCATCCATGCGACGACGTGCAAGAGCTTTTAATACGGCTTCCTCCCCTTTATTTATTTTTAAACGATTTTTCTCATCCTTTTGTCCTACAACCTGTGTCACTCGACTTTTTTTTAATTCTATCGGTCAAATTTATAAAAATTATCTCCTATTTATTGTACGAAAATAGACCTTAAGTTTTCAGACAAATGTTTAAAATTTGTGTGATCATTTAAAAGCATTACGTTTGTTGTAACCACAGCAGCATTATGCATCATTGTAATTGTACCGCCATTGCATTGATTTATTACAGGACATAGATATAAATTATTCATCGGCGGCTCTTCAGACCATACATTTATTCATGGTGGTAGCCGTCCTAAAAACCGATACAATTGTTTTGCAAAAGCATTTTCAATCATTCATTTCAATGCGATTAAGAAAAAAGTTTGTCTTCTGCTTGCATACTTTTCAATCTTGCTTCACTTCAATATATTATTTTATGTTCTTTCCAGTACAAGGAAGCTTTCAAGTCTACATCTTTCAAAGGACGGCATTTAGACTCTTTGAAGTTTTTAAGTTTACAGTTGCAGCGTAATAAATACGCCTAATAACTCGATCAGTGTCTTGCATTTTGGGTGCTCTACTTTGAACTGTTGTTTCCTTATGGTGTAGTTTATTTTCTTTGCTCGGTGTTCTTTTTTAGTTTTATACTTGTGGTTTCTTCATATTTACAAAAAATAAGCAATTATCGGAGAAGTATTTAATGGTACTTACTTGGCATTTTTAGGCTTAATATCAGGTTGACAACAGGCCCTGTATCGTAGTACAGCCTGTGTGGGAGTGAGTGCATCGGTTTCGTCGGCCGGCGCATCGCACTCGTCCGTGACGAGCGGCGCGCGCGCCGGCGACGTGTGGTACCCGTCTGAATTCAGCTGGAAGATCAAGCACACGCTTTACGAGTAAGTCCCTAAGCCATGGGTGATGTGTTACAGAAGCAGTAAACTCCCAAATTGTGCAACTTTTTGGAGCATAAATAGATATCGTTTTTAGGGTAAAACTGATTAGCTATTTACGTATACCTCTAACAGCATAACTTTGGAAAGAACGGACGTAAGGACAAACACCACTTAGTAACATAGTTTAAAATGAACATAATACAGATTACAATGTAAATGTAAACAGTAATAATGATACGGCCAATCTTATAACTTTATTCAGTGTATCTTGACAGTAATTTTATCTTATAGTAGACTAAATCTTCATTACTCCCCTTCATTTTGAATGGTAAATTGCTTAATACCACTAAATATCGTGCTTAATGCTCTGCTCCCTCCCTTTGGCTAAATAAATTATACCTGCACGGCTAAACTGCAGTATCATGAATTGTTGCGTCGAGGCCGTTTGTTCCGTTTATTTCTTGTTTTCCGGATTCCCTTGGGGGACATGGGACCGTTCTTCATTGTTTCACGTAATTGAACCATTGGTTACTAAGTGCGTTTCAAAAGTAGGTACAAACTATGATGCAATGTGTTCTACTTTGTGCATTCTAAATGACAATGTTAGTGCGTGAAGAGAAAGAGTATAATTTTTTAGAATTATCTACATACCGATGGAGTTTTAGACATCAAAATAGATGACAATGAAATCACAAACAAAACGAATCATTACATTTTCTTCGTTATTGTTACTCACCCGGTAACATTCAGTGATATCATACTCAAAATATCTTTTAATTTAGTTTTGTTTACTTGGACTCGCATTTGTAAAAAGTTGAGAACCAAAAATTCAAGTAGGACGTCAATTGAAATTAAAATGAATTGGAAGTACCTGTTCGTTCGCGTCGTATTTACTGTCTGCTCACCTTTAAGATCGGCAAAAGAGATACGTTTGAAACCTAGTCGTCGTATCAAAGGAGTTCCTGGTTATCTTATTCAAGATATTTACACTTTCAACTCCTTGTTTTATTGACTGGAATCCAAAAAGAGAAGAATAATGAATGAGATGCGGATGACTCACTTTGACGATGGTGCCGACCTGTGTGTCCACCAGCGGCGCGTGTGTCGTCAGGTGCTGCGGCCGTTCACGTGGTGACTCCGCGCGCAGGTCGCGCTCTGACCCCTCCACTGGTGCCCCGAGCAGCCGCTCCTTCATCTCGTGGATGTAGGGGCAACGCTGCATCGTTGCGATGTAGAACGAGCGCACTCGCACCTGTAAAAGACAAACATTATATTGAAAAAAATATTTCGAACATACATCATCCTAAAGAGTTAGTAACAGAACACTTAAAAATAGGTGAATTTTCCGCTGGCATTTGTGAACCGATTTCGATGATTCTCTTTTTTGTTAGAAAGGGATATGTCAGTATTGGCCAATTTAAATTTTAAGCAATATTCCACCTCTAACGTGTGGCAAACTAGGAGATGAATCTGGTTTCTTGCGGTTTCCGGTAACCGATTACAATAAAACTTGGCAAATAGATGTAATTCCACGATTGAGGTAAATTTTTTTTTATCAAAAAGTTACAATTATTATTGTGACCCTCAATACAATGACACTCGGGAAGCTGTTATCGCTGCCACTAATTCTGCGCATCAGGGAAACCGTTCTTTTTCGTATACAGCTTCAAAACTAACAGAAGCGTTAACATTTAAAGCGTGGCAGTTGTTACAGCATCCTAAATCTTATTAACCACTTTTTTTCATCCTCCACCATTAGTAAAATACAATTCGATCGGTACTAGTACAAAATCTATTACCAAACTTTTTGCAAAAATGCCAACATGTTTTCTTTCTTTGGCCTTACAAAACGGTTTCGCCGAACCCGACCGAAATACATTTGGACGCGTCATTAAATTGTGTCGAAATTTATGCAGCTCATCAGTATGTTTAAAACTCTAAATTTAACTCTAATTTGGGCACTGTGTAAATTGAAGGACTAGTTGGTGTTAGCTGTTTTATTTTATTTTCTTAGGGGAGCTTACAGCTACTTTTACAAGATTGATTTCAGTATGATTATGAAAATATGAAAATTACACCACCATAACTTGATAAGAAGTTATTAGTCATAATAGTTTTTATATTCTTAACGCTGTTACAGAAAAGATCTATGCAACTGTCGTCATTGAGTTAGTTAAATGATGTTAACGATCTTGGTAGATAACTTTTGAAATTAGCACGACTAAATGGAACATGAAGCAAATTATTCCTGCGAAAGTTCTTAACTGGAACTTTGAGTATAATGTTACTGGGGAGCTCTGGACAATCAATCTTATTCTGTGCAATGTTCAGCAGAAAACACGTATCAGCTATATTTCTCCGCAAATATAAAGGTAACAGATGAAATTTTTCACAACGGTGTATGTACTCCAAATGGGGCAGTTTGAGGTAACTTAAGAATGTAGTAAATTTCTTCTGTATTTTTTCATTGCTGTTAAGGTAAGTATCGTAGAAGGAATTCCAAATTTGCGATGCATGCTCAAGGTGGCTAGGAACATGAGTGCAATAAAGAGTTGTCAGGGTTTTACGAATGACGGATCCTAGAGCTTTCTATTACAAATAATTAAAGATATATTTGAATAATAGAGTGAAAACACTTAGTCTAACTTTTTCAGGCTGATGGACGTGGACGTCATCTTGCGTAATTAGGTTAAGTCAGACGTCGCTCCCAAATTTGAAAAATGCGTTTGTTTAATTTAACGATGCTAACGCATGCGTGTGCGGCTTCATGTCAAAAGCAGCGCATTGGGTGCCGTTACTAATTGACTGACGATTTAGTCGGCTCGACCAGCGTGTTTGAACACTCTATTGTTTATCTCGGTTACGTAACTCATAATTACGTCACTGGAGCGAAATCTTTTTTAGTGGCCCGTAAAATAGGTATAATTTGTTGTGACATTTAATATGTATAGAAAATGAAACTGCTTATTACACGCGATTTAGATCTGAAAAAAGTAATTTCAATTCCTACGTGTAACAAGTGACGGGACGAACAAGTCGTGTGCCTGATGGTAAGCGACACGCCTGTCCATAACAGTTGCTGTAATACAGCTTTAAATCGCAAAAATCTGAGGCGCAATGGCAGTTGCGCCCGACACCCTGAGGCACATTAATAATAATAATAGCTTTATTTTTCTACGTTTTCATAACAATTTAGTCTTAAATAACATCATCTATAGTTACATATATTGTGTAGACAAAAAGAAAAGAGTCTCAGCTTAAGCTGTTTTTCAGACCCTACCTTTTTGAAGAAACTCGCTACATTCCAATGACAATAGTTGTATGTATTCCAATGCGTCTCGAGTAGCTCCAAAAAATTATCACTTAACTATAAATATACACATACGAGTATATCACTTAAAGTTATAATCCTATTGTTACGATGGTACCAGTGCTTAATAAAACATTCCATTTCAAAATACTCCAATTTGAAATTTAGGCAGGGATACAATTTTTAGAATTGTTAGAAAAGTACTTAAAAATAAAAATATAAGAATGTAAGCTACATCCAATTACCTGCCGATCTTTGCCTCGAAAGTAGCGAAAGCTTGCATGTACTTTTAAAAGTGCAAGACGATTTTGAGTTTCTTATGGAGGAGGCAAATTTGAAGCTACTGCGGTAAACAGTTAATCTAGGAGGTGATGATATCTGTAAGGAAGGATATCGTACCGACCGTACATTGCGACAATCCCTGTCGTTCCAATTTAATTTTTTAGCCAGGTAGGCTGGAGTACAAGGATAAACGAATGTGTTTAATTTAAACAAAAAAACATAAGTTGGCGTGTCCCATGTCCCTGTAATTTCACCATGACCCGTACTCTTCCGGAACGCAGTATTTATTGCTCACACTACTGCTTGGCGGCAGAAATAGGAAACAAGGAGCTCTACTGCTACCAAAGCTCGATATTTAATAATGTATTTCGTGAAATTGAATTTAGAAAAAATATATTCTCCTAATACCTATTATTTGGGTTAAGAAATGAATAAATAGAAAATTGTATGCCGTAACCCTTGGGCTCAACTCACACTGGCAGAGTCGAAGCGTCGCGACGCGTCATGTTTTTCGCCTACAGTATATTCATCTCTATTTTCCCATTATTAAGGTACAAATTTGTGTTATGCAAATATGGAATCAAAGTCAAAGTCAAAGTCAAGATTATGTATTCCATAGGTAAATTAAATTTACACTTTAAAAAAGTCACATTTAAGCTACTGCTCGTTCACTACGCCAACCTCCCTGAGAAGAACGAGCAAGAAACTCTAGGGATTGCTCTTTTCAAATAAACTGAAATGCTATGGAATACACTTTGAATCAAATTTGTGTGGATTCTGGTCTTTTCATACATCTTTATCTAATATGTAGACGGTACACAGAACGAACCGCTCGTTTTTGCAATACAAATATGGTTTGAATATCTGCCGCTTTACCTCACATGAGAATCCCGTAGGACATTATACTATGGAAGTAACTAAAGTAAACTAGTCTAGCAGTACTAACATCGGTAAGCTCACGTATTCTGCGGACTGCGTATGCAGCGGAGCTCAATCTGCTGGCCAGAGACGATGTATGTGGAAACCATTGAAGTTTGCTATCTAAGGTTACTCCCAAGAAGACTGCTTTATTAACAAGGTCTAACTTTTCTCCGTTTATTTCAATGCTTGGACTAGTCGATTTTACGTTAGGTAATTCAAATTTAACACATCTTGTCTTTTTGGCATTAAGCATTAAATTGTTAGCATTCGAGTGTCGACGTCGTGTTACTTCGGCGCATTGAGGCGTCAGACGCCGACCACACTGTGATCCCGGCGCACTAATGCGAGCGTCGTCGCGCGTCGCCAAGCGGTGTAGTTGAAAAATAGACGCGACGCGACGCTTCGACTCTGCGCCAGTGTGAGTTGAGCCTTAGAGCGTTTGCGCGTTACGTCCAATTCGTATCAGTCCTGAATTGGATATCTCTAAGTATGCAAGCGATATTCGTATATTTTCTGGGATCCGAAGTGGGTCCGAGTTTTGTAGATTTGCAAAGTCTCGGGTTCGGAACGGGTTTATAACAAAGTCACATGTGATTAAACCCAAAAAGCTATCGACTAATTTCGTTTGTAGGATCTTTAATAGTTCCGTTGTCATTTTGCTGATGTAGTTTTATTACACTTCACATTATTATTTACACTCTGCGCCCCAGAGTGTCTAAGAGAGATAAGTTTAAAGATATTAACATTCTTACACTAACGTCATAGTACAGTCAACAGCACATCAAGCTACACATTGACGTATCTTGTTCCGTTGCACTGTCTGATGTGCTGTTGTCCGTACAGTTATGAAAATGTTATTTATGTTAAGAAAAATATTTTTTTTTAATGAAAAATAGTGACAGACATTAATACGAGGAATAAAAATAAACTGCCTGTTCTTGACAGTCGTATTCATAAAGTCGTAATTTCATTTAAGGGGCATATACGCTTCTATAATAAGATTCTTGTTGATATTCAAAGTTTGCCATTTACGAAGTTTAAAACTATTGTAAAACAAAAACTTTATACTAAAGGTAATAATACAGGTAGTAATACAACTTCTGCGTACTTGAATGACAAAAATCCGTGCTAATGACTCTATTCTCGACCTAAAATGTTTAAATTAAATATATTGTAATGATAAATGTATTCAAATGTATATTTACAAAGTGCAACCCCTAAAGTTCTTTAAAGTTCGTTCTTTTCAAGGTAATCTGCGTTACGAATGAGCAGTAGAGTTTAGTCAGTATGATGATTTCAAGTGTAATTTGCGTACCTATGAAATAAAGGTTATTTGACTTGGACACCAAGGATGCGACATATTCAAAGCAAAATTGAAATACAATCGGTTACGCTATTGATGTAAAAAATAAGTGTCATTAATGCCAGCTATCACTTGATGTAAATAGCAAACCGACAATAGGCAAGCACACAACGCACACAAAATGTTTTGAATGCTTATGCGAACTGGTATTTGAATGTAAATGAGCCCACGAGTCCCTACACGTTTCGGGGACAATAAGGCACTTTAACAACGTGAAGTTTCGTGGAATGACACATAAATGACACCTTCCTTTCCGATAAAGCCAGGCGCCTCCACATACGGTACCTTTATTACACATTAAATATTAACTAGGTTTAAATTTCACATGAGGCCAACGAATAATGCTCCTTGGGAGGTGAAACTAAACAATGGAACT